TTATCCACCACAAACCTTCAATTGCCACCTTCCACGCAAATGGGATGTGTGCGTCCCGGCTCCGTCTTCATGCGGCTCCTCTGCTGCATGCGTGACTCGAGTCTGAGGCTATCACGGTTCGTCAAGCGCTGTCGCTTGGAAGACTGCTGGCTGACGCCCCAGCTCAGTTCACGAGTTGTGTGTGTATGTGCAGAGTGGCGGACTGGTAGGTTGAGAGCCACACTGAAGCGGCTCCTTCTTAACGTGACCTACGCACTCTCACGCATGTGAGAGGTATGCCACCCAACCCCCGTTGTGCGAAATCCTGGTGCTTGTGTTTGGGAGGCCAGGTCGTGCATGTGACGCGCGCATACAAGGTCACTAGATATGTCAGCCACCGCGACCATTCCTCGTACCTGTCATCTGACCGGCTCGGACAGTGACTGGGGCCCAGTGTTGTGTGTTTGTGTGGAGCGACCGACTAGTGGTCTAAGAGTCAGGCTGCAATAGCTCCTTCTTGAGGTGGTCGTTATGGCACTCGCACACCGTGCGATCCGAACCAGGTGTGGTGGCACGCTTAGGTGCGGCTCCGGCCGTGTCAACCCCCGTTCTTTTGTCGTTGTTGGAGTAACAATCGGGAGATGGCACCCAAAAAATCCGCCTACCCAAGCAGCCTGTCTTACGGGACAGGTGGTAATAGGGGTTTTATGGGTGGTGGCTGATCGGGATGTACGATACTAGCCGATGGAAAGCCTTATTTGAACAGGTGAATGATCGACGTTGGCCCGCTCTCCGTTCCGTTATTACAAAATGGGTCGCCAAAGGCAGTATTATGGTAACGGACGAGTGGAAGGCGTATAATCGTCTTCCTTCAGAAGGTTATCTGCATTCCTCTGTTAACCACTCAAAGAACTTCAAGGAACCTACCACCGGACAGCACACCAATGCCATTGAGGCATACTGGAGTAGACTGAAAAGGAAACTCTACGAGGGAGGCCCTATATGTGGTCGAGCTGTGTGGGCTCACATAGACGAAGTACAGTATCGTCTTTGGTTTGGCCTCAATGGCATGTCTTTGACAGATGACTGGGAACTGTTCCTGTCCCATGTTGTGCAGACTTATCCTATTTAAAAGTGATTTTGTTTTGTAATAATCAGCCATAATGCGAATGTATGCCGTATATTCAGGTGTACGTGTGTAACGATGGGGAAGGTTGGATAACAGCGACCATCGTCCATGTAACCTCCTGCGATGTTCTTTCGGCCAGCCCATGTTAGGCCGTCGGGGAAAGTCCAAGTAGTGTGTGAAAGTCGGCCTACAACCGCTGGTATAGCCTGCAGGCTTTTGAGTTCACTGTTAAAGGTATTATTTCTAAGTAACGGATTTTTTGGGTGCCATCTCCCGAGTGTTACCGTTGTTGGTTACAATCCTGCTCACTTGGCGTGTGGAGCGGAACGCCGCGGTGCGGGCTCGACCCTGCCATCCACCTGCGGGTCATATGTGGTTATATAGCCCTACCTGAAGTAAACAAACGCCGGCTACCGGTAGCATTTGTGAAGAAGAAAGTCCCACAATCTAACTCGTTGGTGCGACCATTCATCTGGAATTGGATGATCAGTAAGTTTAGCACAGGACCCCCCGGGATACCGTTTTCATTGATTACCATTTCGGAGATGGACGCACCAACGATAGCTTTCTGTAATCCGCGAGACAGAATCTTTTTCCTCTATATTCTCTAGACGAAACCGATACAGGGCTGTGTGAAATGCCGGCCTAAGGTCGAAAATATGGCATTTATTTGATAGACCTCATCTCTGGTCCTTGTTCACTTCCCATGTGAGTAAAAACGTTAATGAGACAAGAACGGTCCGAGTGGAAACCATGCTGGGCTGTGCACGAGACATCGTGTTCTTCCAGTCATTTTATAGGGCACTGCACTGTTTAACGACATACTGGTCAGACTGACTGTACGATAATCCTCAAATTCCTATAGAGCTCCTTTGCAGACCAGGGTGATAGGCGCTCGCTTCCATTTCTGCAGCACTAGGGTGCCTTAGAAGAACTTATGGAGGACAGTAATTAGTGGTTCAACAGCTCGTCAGCAAGTTCTTAAGATATGAGGGTGAGCATTTCAGATAGGACAGAAGGTTTCAGTCGAAGTAATCTCATCCTTGTTGTTATTGACAAACGTTTCAGTAAGGTGCGGGAGTAAATACCAGCCGTAAATTATATTCAAACAGAACGTCTACTTGAAGAAGGAGACACGATCGCCGGGACAAGAGCTTTATTAGCCTGACGTTTCGGATTCCTACTCGAGTCCATCATCAGAGACAAAAAAACAGAAACGGGTGGTTGTTGCACAAGGAACTGCGGTATTTATAGGATGCAGTAGCTATGCTACCGCATACCTATGAACATTCACGGCTCCCCTCCTTCATCCGGGATCGTCGCACTTATTGTGATCATTGCTTGATGGCCGACATTCAAGTCGACAATTGCTGCAATTTTATCACGTGCGTTGGATGTTGGCGTGATGATTGCTCGAACATCTGACGCACCGACCCCGGTGTTAGGAAAAGTGTTCCCCTCTGCTCTCCCCGCATGGCTTGTTACTCCGCCTGGGCGAAGATTTAGCACGGAGTATGGAGTCGGAAGATCGTTGCACTTGTTGATGGACTGGGGGCCAGTAAACCATGATTCCAGTAGCTCCCGGCTCACGCGGTTGTAACCTCTTGCGAGAATTTCGGCCTCATCAAATTTGAATGTGTGGCCGGATCTCGTCGAATGAGCCGCAACTTGAGAGCTGGCGTCATTTCTGCGCACTGCTGCCGCGTGTTCGGCCATTCTCGTTTGGAGCTGTCTTCCGGTTTCTCCGACGTAGTTGCTTTGTCCGCAACTGCACCAGATCCGATAAACGACTCCAGACGTTTCTTGTCGTGGCAGCGGGTCTTTCGGTTTCATTACTTGACGCCTGATGGTGGCCTCCGGTCTGTGTGCCACTCCAACCCCAAGTGGTGCGAGAAGGCGGCCGACAGCTTCCGAAACGTTCTTCACATACGGAAGTGCCCGCCAAGATTTGGTGTCCGTGCGGTTAGGCCTCTCGTCCCTTTTGCGTATGCACCGGTCGACGAAGTTGCGCGGGTAGCCATTGGCTTTGAAGACCCGTCGGAGGTATTGTAGTTCAGCAATTTTGTCTTCCGGTTCATGGCAGTGCGTTTCGACACGCCGATAGAGCGTCCTTACACAACTGCGTTTGTGGCTGATTGGGTGGTTACTGTTGAAGTTCAGTACTTGCATCGTATTTGTCGCTTTCCTGAACACTTGTGTTTTTAGTTCACCACAATCTTTGCGGCATACGAGGACATCCAGGAAGGCCAGCTGGTTGTTCTCTTCCTCCTCCATCGTAAATTGAATGTCCGGGAAGACGGCGTTGAGATGTTCTTGGAATGTCAACACCTGATCCCGTTCGATGACGACGAAGGTATCATCCACATACCGGGCCCAGAATTTCGGTCTGTGGTGTTGGAAGACCAGCGACTCTAACCGTTGCAGGACCGCCTCGGCGATGAATCCCGAAATCGGCGAACCCATTGGTGTGCCCTTCACCTGTTCGTAGATTGTCCCGTCGAACGTGAAGTACGTCCTGAGGCAGAGCTTCAGGAGCTGAAGGATTTGGGCGTGTCCAAGACGGTTCTCCGTTTCATCGTATTTGCTTTGTAGTAGCAGCTCAATTGTCTCGATCGCCAGGTCCTGGGGAATAGAAGTTAAAAGGGATGTAACATCAAAAGATACCATGACCACATTTGGATGGATGCTTACCCCTTTGAGTTTCCCCAGGAATTGTGCTGACGAAGAGACGGTTGTGTCTGACTCAGCGGTCAGGAACTTGAGACGCCGGAACAGCCACTTTGCCAGTGCGTACGTTTGAGTTCCTTTGAGCGACACGATGAGTCGGAGAGGAGCGCCGTCTTTGTGCGCCTTAGGGAGGCCATAGAATCGGGCCAAAGCCGTATCTTCCGACTCCATACTCCGTGCTAAAACTTCGCCTAGGCGGAGTAACAAGCCATGCGGGGAGAGCAGAGGGGAACACTTTTCCTAACACCGGGGTCGGTGCGTCAGATGTTCGAGCAATCATCACGCCAACATCCAACGCACGTGATGAAATTGCAGCAATTGTCGACTTGAATGTCGGCCATCAAGCAATGATCACAATAAGTGCGACGATCCCGGATGAAGGAGGGGGGCCGTGAATGTTCATAGGTATGCGGTAGCATAGCTACTGCATCCTATAAATACCGCAGTTCCTTGTGCAACAACCACCCGTTTCTGCTTTTTTGTCTCTGATGATGGACTCGAGTAGGAATCCGAAACGTCAGGCTAATAAAGCTTTTGTCCCGGCGATCGTGTCTCCTTCTTCAAGTAATGGATCCCTTTGGTCAAAACGGAAGTTTTATGTACATTTTCCCCTCCCACAAAACGGCATCAATTCTTTCGTGAAGTAAGCCTACGACAAGAACTACTGTTTCTTTGAAATGGATTGCAAAGATTCGGAAACTCTCTTTATAACAACCTAACCAGCCTGGCTTATGACAATTTTCATCATTGGTGAATTTCTACTGAGCGATGCCGTCAGGGGAAGTTTTCGCCTGAACTGGGCACAATGGCACTCGACCTTGAATCCCAAACTGAAAGCTGGTAAGACTATTGACAGTGTGCTGCAGGAACAATTCAAGGAATGCTTTTC